TGGAAGGACAATATTTTAAAGAAATAACTTCAGTGGAGGAAGGTGTTTACCACCACTTAATATGATTTGATTTTTCTCTTTTTTTCTGCTATTAGAAACTATTGATCCTGCATGGAACTATGTGATACTGCTTGGAAACGCTGATAAAATATAACCAAGTTCCCATACATACAGAGTTTAGAGTTCACTTGATTAGAACTGTGGTTGCTTTTATGGTGCGAGTTAGGCATCTCTGCAGAGGAAATGAGCAGAGCAGTTGTGGTAGACGCAGCATGTAGTATACTAAGGTCAACTCTCCAGTCTTAAATAATTTGTTCTGAGGTTGGTTTTGTAAAAGTCATCTTAATCTGTGTTTCAGCAGCAGCAATCAGTACTATTCACTGATCCTTTGAGTTAGAGCATGCAGGTGCCCTTAAATTAAGAGGTTGCTTACTGATACCTGGTTTGTTGTTAATTAAGTCTTTATATTACCTCCATCGCTCCCACACCAGATACACTTCTTCAGAAAGTTTCTGAAACCCTGGTGCTATGGAATATCTGTCCAAATAATAGTTGCATGTGTTTGGATAACTTTTAAAGTGTCCCAGTTGCTGCTTGAAAAAAAGAAAAAGCTTTTTCTGTTTTTCGTAGTGTAAGAGTGATATAGCTGTGATGGTCCAGAAATTATGCAAGAGGCAAAGATTTCTTTGGGTTATATATACTTTTATGTTTTGGTTATACTTTGATTTTTGGTTAGCTGACTAAACTAAATAGTTAAACTGTACATGAGGCTATAGCAGATCAGCTTTGTTGTCCACCTCTTGTTAGGTGTGATGGGGGAGGTTTGCACATTTGGAGTTTGTTTTTTGGCTGCTCTGAAAGAACACAGGAAATTGACTTCCTGTTAGAAATGTCAAAGCATTTTTTTATTCCTAATAATTTCTATTTCTAGTAAGCATCAACAAAGTTAATCTCATTTTAATGAAGCTCTCTGCCTAATAGCAGTAAACATGAACAATTTTTAGTTTCCATTACTATAATGTCTGGTGGCTCCAATCAAAATTGGGGCCCTGTTGTCTTGCTGTACATTTCTATGCTGGGCACAGCAGTCTCTGCACCTAAAAGAGCCTTGCACTCCAAGTAGAAAACATAGAGGATTAGATAATTGGAAACAAGATTCAACAAGAAATTGGTAATCATAGTACAAAGAGATTTGCACAGAATTAGCTAAGGGAGTCTGTACTCCAAAAAAGGCATGTTTTTATGCATGCGTGTGGAGAAAAAGCCACCAATTGAATTTGTATCTCCTGTATCCATTCCAGTGTCTCATCACAAGATCATTCTAGCCCTTGTCGTGTTAGCATAATTCTTAAGCCATTCTTTCAACAGACTTTTTTGCATAGCCTTTTATTTTAAAAATTGATGAAATGTGTAGTTTAAATTTTGAGAATCAAAATACTTAATCCTTTTGCAACTTATAAATTATAACACAAGTTTTCTGTGGTCCTTCTCTTCTTTGGTTAGTCTGTAAGGTGCAAATCTACCCTGTGTTCTACTCAAAAGGACTCCAAAGCTGCCTTGGGCTGCTTTTCAATAGGCTGGCATATACATATAAAAGTAAAATGAATGAATAAATAAACAGAAAATGACTTATTTGGTAGGAGGTCCATCAGGAAATTGTTACCTTTTGTTATTTCAAAGAGGGGACTGTATATGTTCTTTGAATACAATGGAGTTTTTAACTAAATAGGACTTTCTTTTTTTTGGTTGGGTTTTGCCATTGTCATGTGTGAAGAAGCATCACTGATTAAGTAATGAAAAAATAAGTGTTTGTGTGGAAGGAAGAGTGGATGTCCAAGCCATTACCTTGTCAAGAGTTTAAACCCTATATAGCAAGTACATCATCATCAGTCCTTATGACTGTGAAGAGAGTTTTCCAAAATATAAGAAATGACTTGCTGGAGACAGCAGTCACAGTTCCAGTGCTTCTGCTTCCATCAGTAATGTTGATAGTAGCAGCAGATTAAATTTAATGAGACTCTGCTGAGCATAACTGCTTTTGTTTTACTGTTGTCTGCCAATTTTTCAATAATCAGTTTATATGATTATAATTACAAATTAGAGTTCCTCCTAGGAGAGGAAGACCTAAAAATGAGGCTACAGGATGACTAGGATAAGAAAGGAGACTTCCTTAGATTTTGAGTTTAATTGCTGGCTACAGTCATCTTTCTTTACCCAGAAGCAGAAAAACTCTTTCCTCCTGAACTCTAGGAGCTAAGAGTCTTTACTGGACAGCTGCTTCCCCATAATGGTTACTGTTAAAAAAGCTCATCACTAGAGCACATTAATAGTAGTATAGTGAATGTATTGTACGTTATATGGCAGGCAAGGCTCTTTGGGTAGATGCAATATCTTTTATTAGACCAACTGAATAGTTGTTCTTTTTTCTTCATATTGTGAAGTTTCCATTTCAAGTGGCAAAATTCACCACCTTCTATGTTGCAGGGTTGTTGGTTGTAGCTGTGTTGTAGACCAACACGGCTACAACCAACAACCCTTGTACATTATAATGTGCTGAACTTGTACGTGTGACATTTTGTTTGCAAGATTTACACTAGTTTCTGCTCCATTGAAATTTTCCTTGCTGCACAGTTATCTCCACTTTGTATTTCAAGAGTTAAACTCCACTTGCTATTTTATTCAGGTTCTTATATTGTGGCATATTAATGACCAGTCTGGCTTAGTTGTAAGTAACCAAGCATAGGTCTTTGACCCTTTTTAGGCAGGGAAGAACTTAGTCTGTTCCCAGGTAGTGAGGGAAACCGAGCTACCTACTAAGATTGAAACTATAGCCACAGAAGAGAGAACAATCACAATCTTCTGTTGATTAGAGCTAAGTGGAAAGTCTAGAAAGGAAATGTCTTTTTTTTTCTTTCTTTCTTTCTGGTAATTAAAAGCACAATACATGACTGGAATGCACCCCCACCCTCCAAAAATAGTCAACTGATTCCTAAAGGTATTTTTAAACTCTGTAGATCACTTAGAGGTTTTTCTATATTTTTAATATTCTGTTCGATAAGTGCTGGTATCAAAATCTAAATATTTGTAGCATGGAATAATTAAATTTACACCAACTTGAAAAATTAAAACTTTGGTGATTCTGTGAATTCTAGGACTATAATCCATATACATTCTGGAGGCTGGGTCAAACCAATTTGAATGACTGGTGAATCAGTCCAATACTTATGTGAAGCCATTGCTGTCAGATTAGCATCTGACTAGGAATGGGTTAAGGAAATGAGATGGGTCAAATCACTTTTTGACCTTTTTAGTCAGGAAACAACTTAAATTTAGAACCAAAGTAGTGAGGGAAACTGAATTACATACTAAGATTGAAACTATAGCTACAGAGGAATCATTCCTGTTCTCCAACAGTTTCATGAAGGGTTTTTTGCAATGAAATAAGCAGTAATTGAATAGCATATTTAATGTGTTGTCAATACTCCTGTACCTGAATTCCAGCTTTCTTTTTCCCAGCACAGGGTAGAAGTATTGTCTTTTATCTTTGCTGCATGTACTGGTTGTTAAAAGGTACTTGGTAAACTGTTCAGTTTTGTCAGATGAATCTGCCAAGTTTGCTTTTGAATTTTGATCCTCTATGTGAAAGAATGTGGGAGAAATTTTGTATAAAGCTAGGATATGGATACAGTTACAGAATGCTGCTGTGAATTTATTTTCCATATGGCAATATATCAAGGCTCTTTTCAAGGTCATCTTGAAAAGACATGAGGCTTTCCAGTAAAGTCTGAAGAGGATGACTTGGAAAATGTTCTTGTAGTCAGGGTGTGTCTAGATTAGGGGGTGAGCAAGGTCTGCCCCCAGACCAGAATGGGTGAATTCCATTTCCCAGCAGCCCCCACCCGTGCCATTCCTAGCCAGTCTCCATGGAGACCAGCCAGGAGCTGTGTGGGCAGGGTGCTCAGCTGGGCAGGGAGCTGCTTAGGGCTGGGGCTGGGATCTTGCAGTGGTGACAGCACAGGGCTGGAGCCAGGGCAGAGCCTCAGTCTGCTGCCTGCATGCCCCTGTGACGAGCTCGGGTTCTGTGGGCAGGAACGTGCGGGCAGTGGACCACAGCTCTGCCCTCGGCACTATCAGTGCCACAAGGTCCTGACCTCAGCCCTGGAGCAAGTCCCCACCCAGATGTGTGCCCTGCCCACACAGCTCCTGGCTGGTACCGGCTGGGATCAGCGGGTTCAGGAGCTGCTGGGAAATGGAATCTGAGTGCCACCCGGATCCACCATTTCACCCACCCCTGGTCTAGATCTTGTGGAATTTTTATGCGTATCATCTAAATATGACTTTTCCTTTCCATCTACACAGTGTAAGTGGGTATTTAAAATGTATTTCATTGAGACACTGGTAGGCTTCTGAATTAGGTAAAAATTGTAAATAAATCAATAAAACATTGTATTCAACTGATACCTACATATATAGTGGCATTGCATTTTAATCATGAAAAAAGGTGGATTTTGGATTTTTTTAAATCAGTATTTTGGACTTTTAATTGGAGAAAACCAGTATCTGTGGTTATCATCACCTTACCAAAGCTGCAGTTCTTTCTTCTTTACTTGATAACTTGCATTCTAACCTCCAGCTCCCCAGAGAAGGGTGAAGTTGTTCTCCTGGGCTTCAGCTAACCACCTTAGCAGACCTTTTGTCTGGTTAGAATAAAGTGTTTTAATGACTTTGCATGTTTCTCTCAGACTAGATACAGTGGAAAGGACCTGGTCAGCACAGTTAAATACCCATTCATATGGAGGTATTAAAGAATCAACCAGAATTGATAAGTTGTATGTGGATTCTCCAGATCATTATACTTGCCACACAAATGTCTTTGGAAGCCAGACCAATCAAATTGTGGAAGTGGTTATTACATTTTCTCTCTAATGGAAAGTGTTTTTTGACGCATTTTCTAATGGCTAAAAATGGCTGCTTGCTGATTTGTTGGTATTTTTGCAGATTTTAGGTTGATGCAGCAGGAAGAGTTTATAGATCTGAAATGGAAGCTAAATCTTCATTTGAGAAAATTAATAGATCATCTGAGTCTGCGTCTACATTAAGTAATGAAGACTTTGTTGTGGTTCATCAGCAATCTGAGGATTCTTCTGCAAAAGATGAGAAACCTCAGCTAAAGGTACTTTTTTCCTTTGTTTTTGTTTTAAACAGAAGTTAAGGATCTGTTGTATTAACTTGCAATTTGTTGTATTTTAATTATGGGCAGATTGTTGAAATCCTTCACCTTTTTGTTTTTCCTGTGTATATGTTGGTGAAATGAGTAGTCTGTTTATCTGAAAAAGCTTCTATGATCAGGACTTGTTAGCATTCTTTAGATGTTTAAAATAAACAAAAAACACCTTTTTTTTAAATCAAGATGCTTCCAGTTGGGGAAACACTCTGGATTTAGGATTCAAAGGCTTAGTGCCATTGGTATATTAGAATGGTATTATGCATTGTTAGTAATAAAAAAAATGTCTAAAAACATCCAGCTGATGCAAGTATTGGTAGAATTATTATAGACAAGGCTACTGTAGCTGGAGACACTTGAATCCCAAATCAGTTTCTCTGAGTAGTTGAGCAAATAATGGCTCTGGCTGTGAGCCTGGTCTGTGCTAATGTTTCCAACAGGACTACCATTGGTGTAGCTGTAGTGGTGAATACTATTGATAGAAACATTTAGAATGTCCCAACTTCCCTTGCTGTCATGCTTAGATATGCTTGAAACACTGTGTTTCAAGCTAGTTTATTTGTGAGCAGTCTTCCCAGGCTGGCATTTCTTTTCAAACTTACTTCTTCTTTTCAATTTAGCAGCAGTGTTGTAAAGCAGGGGACTTAACTCAAGTTGAAGGGAAGCTAGAGACTTCTTCCCCCAGCAGACTTTCTCAGTGCTAGAAGTATTCAAAGTAGAGCCCCATATGAAGATCAAATGAGTTGCCTTTGTGGTTCCATGTGTTAGTGCAGGGTTTGGATATACAAATCCCATCTTGGGTAGAAAAAGTGCTGAAAATGCCCTCTGTGGAAAGTTATGGCATCAGAATCAAAGATTTCAGGTTTCTGATTCTCACCATCAGACAAGTCTGCCTCTGTTGCTTAAAGCCTCCTGTTTGTTTAGGACGAAGCTTTTGAATCTGATTCGTTCCACTTCAGATATTTTGGGTATTGCCACCCAACTCAATCCACCTGTAAATTTTGTCCTTCCTTTGCCATTGTCTTCCCAGTACTAGAATAGTTGACAAAATTGTGGCTTTGTATCCAGTTGACATCTTGCAGAAGATTGTACCAACAGGACTGTCCAGATTCCTGTTTTATAGTTCACTACCAAGGAACTCCTTAGTTTTAGTCACAGTAACTGGTATACTTGAGGCTCTCCTAAAACATGTTTTCTCAGAAATAATATCTAGCTAGAGCCCCCTGCTAAAAGACTATTTGAACAAGGAAGTCTTGGTCTGGCTTTCTGAATACCAGAAATCTGAGCAAGGGAATTAATTTTCCTTTTCATTATAAAAAGGAAAATTCACTCTTTAATTATGCCAGAAAGGAGCGTTAGTGTACCAGAGGTAGAATCTATTATCCATTGAACTGTTTTTGGACTACAATAATCTTGGATCAACTCAAGAATTTGCTGTACAAAAATGGAATTTATCCATTTTTTGCTCTCCTCTTATACCAGGCCTACTCTCAAAACCACAAGAAGCCCTGAAATTCTTGGGTGTGGTCAAGGTAATAAAGTTTCACTTAAAACAGAACTCAGGAGAAAGTCTGATCTTTCAATGTTTTTTTGTTTTTCTCGGGGGCGTCCCGCATGTGGCAGCTGCCACTGCTGTTGCTTGCCTGTGGTATCATGCCTGCAGGGAGGTGTCCGCTGTGCATGAGCCGCCCGCCTGCCCGCCCCCCGGTCCACAGGTCTGGCTCTGCAGACAAACTGCAGCAGTGGTGTGAGGCAGGCTGCTGTGTGCGAAACCACCCTGCCCCTGCTGGCTGGCTAGGCAGCACGCAACCACCACCACCACCAGGAGGGGGGCCCTGGTCAGTGCTGGGGGGTGGGTGGGCTCTTCTCCCTTCTCCCCCACCCCCTGCAGTGGGGTGGAGTGGGGAGGGGGGCTCTGTGAGGCTGCCTGGCCCCAGAGGGGGACTCTTCCTCCTCCTCTTCCTGCTCTTCCTCCCTCTCCTGCACTACTGCAGGTCCAAGAGGTGGGCCCTGTTCGATGCTGGAGGGGCTCTTCTCCCTCTTCCCCCCTGCTGTCACCATGGGGCGGGGAGGGGGGCCCTGTGG